CTTGTGTCCCACAACAAGTGCTTTAAGAAGACAGACACCAAACACAGGGAAGGGGGGACGCTATGTTGGTTGCTGGGGGGCTAGTTCAGCTGGTGGGGGGTAGTTCAGCTGATGGGGGCCAGCTCAGCTGTTGAAATGCTTGTCTTAGAAGCATGAGACCCTGCGTCTGAGCCTCAGAACAAAAGTAACCAAAGCCAAGTGTGGGGTGCATGTTTGTAATTCCAGAGCTAGGTGAAACAGTTAGACCTCTGGGGCTCACTGGTCAGTTAGTCTAGCCTGCTGACTTTGTCTTAAAAAAAAAAAAGTAGAGAGTTTATGAGGGGCAACAGTCAAGATTGCACCTCCATATATGTGCCCACATGTGTGTGTACACACATACACAAACACAAACCAAGCAGAAGGTCATGGGAAGCTAAGGGAACCCTGGAACCATCTGGAGCTATAGGGGGTCAGGAGGCTCCTCCCTTCGAGCCTCCATGGAGAGAGCACCCTTGCCTATACCTTGATGCTAGGCTTCTGGCCTCCGGAGCTGTGGGAAAATGTGTGACATTTTTAGCCAACCAGTGCATGGCACTTTGTCATATAGCCTCAGAGAATGAATGCAGCATGGAACCTGGGATCAGAGATACTGAGCAAGGCCACGAAGCCCTTATTGCCTGGCCCTTTGTTGTCCCTGGCTTCCAGACAAAACAAACAAAAACCAAAAAACAAAACCAAACAAACATAACGAAGACTGTTTCCTCTCAGAGAAACTGAGGCTCCTGGGTCCTGGCAATGGCTTTGAAAGATGCCCTCTAGGGAAAGGCTGACTTTGGTAAGGACAGTATTCCCGAGAGGGAGTCTGGGTGGCTGGGAACCACGTAGTTTCTCTCATATAGCTGTGGCTTACAAGTGTTCTGAACACTGTAAATACTGACTCATGAATCCCGAAAGAGTCCCGAGGAAACATTCTCCCCCTCTGAGGAACAAAGACACAAGGAGAAATAATAAAGGAGACCGTGAGGGACAAACCCCCTTCACAGGCCACTGGGAAGCAAAAGAAGCCAGATACCAAAAGGTCACGAGTCCACTGAGCAGGAAATCCACGCAGGCAGAAAGCAGGTGCACAGCGGCCAGGTGCTGTGGCAGGGGAACTGGGAGAGTTGCCAAGTGTGTGGGGTCCTTTTGGGGATGATGAGGGGTCTCAGACTGTGGTGGGGGCTGGAGCCCAACATTGAGAGTGAGCTAAATGCTAAATGCCACTGACAGTGAACTTTAAGATGGGGAATTTAATGTCATGTGATTTCAGCTTCAGTGCATATACAAGGAGAGCTCCTGAGGGGACAGTCCCGATAGAAAGCTCTTGCCTGTGCAGTGGCTTGGAGACCTGATGATGTCACCAGGTTCCTGGTGCAGCTTTCCAGGAAGCAGTCTCCTGGCCTCTACTCCAGTGTTTCCCTGTGAACCCACTCACTGCATCTGAAGACTGGACCTTTCAGCCTGGGTGGGGTGCTGGCATTGCTGCCTTAACCTTTCACTAACTCTCCAGGGCTTTGGCAGGAGAGAAGAACAAAGCGGGCGACCTGCAGAGCCTTCGCACAGTAGCTTCTGCACTGGGCTGTCGCCAAGGCCCTTCATGGCCCTCTGTGGGTTTCTGGAGGACCAATGCGGGACTGGCAGAGGAGTCTGCCTGGGTAAAGCTATGGGCAGAATTCTGGGATCTCGAGGACCCTGGAACAATCCTAACAGTCACCGGACGCTCCATCTTGGCATAGCAACCTTGCTAGGGCTGTTTTTTTTTTGTTTTTTGTTTTTTTTTTTTCTTTCTTTCTGTAGTTCCCCCACAGATGCAGGGGGCATCTGTGGGCTTCAGCTGACACAGCCAGCTAGGGCCTGTTATTGATGGACTTAGCCAAGCCCATAAATATATAGCAAGACTAAGTCTACCATGAGACGGCATCAGGAGAGAGAAAGGACCCTTTCTGCCTAGAACATAGACCCAGGAGGACTATAGCTGGGCTTGGGCTGGAAGACAGACCCAGGCAGGTCAGTGCTGGGTTACTTCCATTTAGCAGCTAAACACTAGCCTCTGCCCTTAGCCTGTTTTTGTTCGTTTGCTTGTTTTCTGAGAACAAACCCCTCTGCTCAGAAAATCATGATCAGGCCTTCAGTGACAGTAGCAGATGTCCTATGGCTTCCTAAAACCGTTAACAAATGATCTGTGTCTAGAAGAGGATCATGAAGTCTACCTTAAAGAAGGACAGACTTCCCACAGTCCTGGCTTCCCACAGTTGAGTCCTGAGAAGCCCAGGAGAGTCATGCTCCTCTGGCTTGCTGGGCCGGGACATCATTTGTTGATCCTCCTGCCTGATCGAGCTCATGATCTCCTCTCCGGTTGCCATGGCCCCATGAAGAAAACACAGCAAACGCCTGGCCCTGCGCAGTGCATTTATTTCAAATATTCCTTGTGGCTGGAACCCGACCATGTTTGGGTGTCTGGACTGGAACATGAACGAATTGCTCTGTCTTCAGCCCCCTCCCCAGCTTCCCCAGCATAGTTTACGGTTCAGCAGAGTCCACATTCCTCATCCCGCCTAGGAGCGGAGCGGGAGGGAGGCTGCCCAGGATGGAGACGGAGGCGTCTTCCCATCTATGGCCAAGCCAGAGAGCCGGCTACCTGCTCAAAGGCCGGGGATTAATTACAACCAGATGGGCCAAGTCTGCACAGATGGTTTTATTAAAACCGTTCCTTCAGCACAAAGGCCGGCTCCCCCAGAAGTCTCCTGGCAGCACAAAGGCGCTCATTTTGCCGATGCCTCCCCTACCCCATGCCTGACCCCTCTCCTCCCCTGCCACCCTTTCAGAGGAGGCCCGAGTTCCAACTGCAACCCAGACATGAACTCCTGCCTAAAAATAACTCTAGACGCACCCTCTTTCCTCTGCCTACATCCGGGGCGGGTGCGGAAAGATCCTTCCCCAGTATCCACCTTGATTTGTGGAGGACTACCTGGGAAGAAAGATTAGTTAGGGAGGTTAGATCAGGGACACTTGGTTTGTCCCCAGAAGCCAAGCCCAGTAGAGGAAGTCGTACCTTTCAGAAGAGCTGGAGTGTCTACAGCGATTGCTGGCACAGCTGCTGCCATGCCAGGCCCTGCTCCTGGGCTCTTACAGCCCCTTATTACATCCGTGCCTGCCATTACACAGAAGATCATCCAAGGTTACACCAGCAATGTTAGGCACCTTGGTGTGACCGAGGATTCCATGTACTAGTCCCAGGGCCAAGAGGTTAACACACTGAAGTGAGTCCCTGTACCTAGCAACTTTGCAAGAGAAAGTGAACATGGTCCCAAAGAGCATTGACCTATACCCTTTGGGGAGTGTGGGGAGTGCAGATCCCTGGGCCTGGCCCCAGAAATGCTGTAATGCGCTCTTTCTTCTTCCTTCCTTCCTTCCTATCTGTTCTCTGTCTCCCTCCCTCCCTCCCTCTCTCTCTCCCTCTGTGTGTGTGTGTGTGTGTGTGTGTGTGTGAGCCTCCCTCCCTCCCTCTCTCTCTCCCTCTGTGTGTGTGTGTGTGTGAGAGAGAGAGAGAGAGAGAGAGAGAGGGAGGGGGTGGGGGACATTTCTCCTCTACTTTCAGAAAAGCCAAGTGGCCTAACATGTAGCCCACTCTGGCCCGATGACCTTGAACTCTTGCTCTTCCAGCCTCCACCTCCTGAGTACTGTGATTACAAATATCTGTCACCAAGCCAGGTTGTGTTTTGTTTTAAGTGTGTGTGTGTGTGTGTGTGGTTTTGTTTTGTTTTTGTTTTTTGCAGGCACTACAGTGTGCATTAGGAGATCAGAGGACAATTGAGGAAATCAGTTTTCTCCACCATATGGATCCTAGGAGCGAAACACTTAGCAACAAGTGTCTTTACCTGCTGAGCCATTTTGGTGGCCCACACCAGATTTTCTATGGTTCTGGGGAATCCAGTGCAGGGCTCTGTGCACTTTGAGCAAGCACTCTACCAACCAAGTTACATACGAACCACAGGAACTTGCATTTAACAACAAAGGATCTAAGGTAATTGGTCAGGAGATTTCTCAGAAAGGGACATGCTGAGTGGCTTGTGCCCCCTGAACAGACACTTCCCAGAGTACCCCCAGAGCTGAACACGCCCTTCAGACGGAAAAACCCCCAATGAGCTGCGTGCACTCTCTGTGGTTCTCTGGAAACTAGTTATGACACATGAGCTCACTTGTATTTTGAGTGTTCACTGTATCATTCATCGTTCCTCTAAGTAAGCCAGAATTCCCTGTCCTTCCTGCAGGGCCTCCATCTGCACAGTTGGTGAGATGGGTTCTCTGGGCAAGGTTCTTTCAGTGCCACCATGGAGCTGATGTGATGTGAGCCCTCAAGTCTTCTGGTGAGTGCTGACTCTGGACTTGGGGGGGACACACCAATGTTGCTCTGGCTCTAAGCAGCCCACACTCCATCTGAGTATTCCTTAGTTGTTCTTGTGTGTGTGCAGCCTGTGTGCACACACAAGCACGCAGAGGCTGGAGGCTGACATCAGTCACACTCCACTGTATTTTTTTAAACAGGGTCTCTCATTGATCCTGGCACTCACAGATTTGGCACAACTGGCTGGCCTCCAGTGGCTTGCTTTTCTCTGCTTCCCCAGTACTGGGGTTACAGATGCTTATGGCTGTTCCCAGCTTTTTAAACGGACTTAAGTCCCCATGCTTGTGTGACAAGCGCTTGACAAGCTGAGCTATCGCCACAGTTCTCACACTAAGCTTTTAAACAAGGCAGTGAGAGGGACTCAGTAGCATTCGGAATCACTTCCTATGAGGCCTCGTGAGTTTCTACAAAAGTAAGGTGTATCCTAGGATGGACACCCCACTCTCTGCCAAGCACCCCACTCCTAGGCCAGGCTGAGGAGTAGCGAGCGAAACAGGCAGTATTGCTGGCTGGCTGGTACAGGGCCTAACTGTACCTCTCTCTCCCTTCCCACAAGGCACAAAGGACTCTAAGACGATTTCATATTTTAACAAACTTTCCTTTATTAGGTTACTGTTATGAATCATCATAAAATAGAACAGAATGGGGTTTTCAAAACTATACATGCCACGCGAGAGGCTTTATGCTGATGGACAGCAGGGAGGGGTGGCGGGTCCTTCTGGTGATGGAATATGGGGGATTCAGGAGAGCCTGGTAATTCACCAGCATCCATGGGGTAATAGCTGGATCAAGATGAGGAGCTGGGAGCTGTACAGTTGAATATGATCCACTCCAAAATGGGAACAAGAGAAATTTTACAATCTGACAAGGCCCCAAAGGAAAAAAAAAAAAAAAAAACAAAACAAATAAGCAAAGGAACAAAAAAACAAAAACCCAAAACTTCAAAATATGAAGGGAATAATTTACATTCTTTATCTAGTCTTGGCACCAATTTTGTGCTTTAGAAATTATATTTCACTGGAAGACTGAAAAAAAAAAGGTACCCTACAGCAGCTGCTTAAAACAATGCTTACAAATATATATGTAAATATATTAAACATTTTCAACATAAAGTCATCTATTGTACCTGTGCAGAAATGGCAGAGCTCAGACTCGATGGGAGTTGGTTTCTTTTCTTTCTGTTTTTTTAAAGGACAAGGTTTCACATAGCACTGGGCGGCCACAAACTCAGTATGCAGCTGAATTCCTGGTCCTTCTGCCTCCACCTCCTGAGTTCTGGGGCCATGGGTGTTTCACCATGCCTGATTTTCCTTGGTACAGGGGATGGAACCTGAGCTTCCTGCGTGCTAGGCAAGCACTCTACCAACTGGGCTACATTCCCAATTTAGGGATCTGATTTCAAAGTAAAAGAAAGAGCAAGAGGGCAGGATCAGGTGCTCAAAGACTCCATGAGGGTGACCATGGGGACAGGCAGTCATCACCTGCTTGCCGTCCTACACCTCACTCCTGAGGCTTGAGGGTGTGTGGTGGGGTCATGATGGGTGCTGCTCCATAGGGCTCCTGAGCCTGAGAGGCATGGGCTTCCATGACGCCCCACCCTGCTCTTGGCCTCTCTCATCTTGCTTTGCCTATAGCGTTCCCAGGGGCTGGAAATCCCACTCACCCCCATTTATCCTGATGGCCCTCCAGACCCAGAGCTCTGAGGATGCCAAAAGGGAACACCAGAAAAATCAGCTGCAAAATTCCAAACTCATGGAAGGCAAGAGACTCCGAACATGTGCAATGATGTACGCATGCCCTAGGCAAGCGGCTACCTGGGGACACAGACTTGCACAGCCCTATAATTCTCCTTGGGGCCTGCTCTGGTGCTGATGCAGAGCCCTTTGGAAACTGGGTCAAGGGATCTACACAATGGCACCCTTGTGTCTGTGCATGCCAATTCATATGCCACAGGCATGTCCAAGGAAAAGGGACGTGTGGCACACATATTCCAGGGAGGTGGCAGGTGTGTGTGGGGGAGCAACAGAACACACCGAGGGAGGTTTCCTTTCTAAATGGAATAAATAAATGGCCGCTGTTACTGTTTAAAGAATAAATATAGGGCATGGAGCACCAACAGCTGGCATCAAAGCCAGGCACTCATTGGCCCGAGGGAGGTCCAACCTGGGGTTCTGTCTCAGTGTCCATGGTTTGTGACATCCTGAGCTTCATCTGGATGGCCTTGTCCTGGCCATTCCTGCTTTCGAAATCTGCCCTGGAGCCCTGGCATCTCCCACTAATCTTACTTCCCAGGACCCCCAGGTGGCTGCAGACTCTCCACAGGGTGGGGAGCAGCTCACTCCATGTGAGAGCGGACAGGGGCCCGACAGAGGCTTTCTTAGAAGTTTATTCTCTGCATCTGGTTCAGGGAAGGGCCTGGATGCTGCTGCTTCAGCCAGTGTTGGGAAGGAAGGAGAGAAGTCCGTTGGCATTGGTCCACCTAGCAGAGGCAGCTGGTAGGATGAGGACACTCTGCCCATGGCTGAGGATAGGTATCCATCCCAGGCGCAGGGGTCGGTGGACCCCGATGGCTCGATGAGTTGGCACCAGGTGGCTGTCGTGTGTCGGTCCTGGGACGTGTGTCACTGGTAGAGGAGGTAGGCCTTGAGGGAGGCAGGTAATGGCAGAGCTGGAATGGCACCCAGACGCTCCTTTCCTAGAGCCAGGCGCACCGAACGCCGGCACAGGTCCATGAGTGGCAGGGGCTCAGCTGGGAAAACCAGGAAAGAGAAGGAGAACCTTAGCAAAGTTCAGGAGGGTTCAAGAATGGACAGATAGTGCTTACAACATGCTCAAGGTTAGCCCCGATTGAGTGGATTTTAACAAGCAGATCACTAAAAATTGTGGCTTAAATTATGAACTGTGGTAATAACTGCAGAGAAGTTGTACTGGGCCAGACAGGTTCAGAAGACCTTTGCTGACATGGATTCATTCACTCTCCCAACAGTGGTGAGCTGTGATGGAGTAACCAGAGAACATGGCTGTTCTCATTCCCTATACAGAAACAGGAACTGAGCGGTGGCATCCAGAAAACTTGCCTAGGCTTGCCCTTCTGGAAGAGATGGGGCTGGGGCCTGAAGGAGCTGCTCCTGTCTCCTTGTGGGGCCACTCTGCATTGTCTGGACAAAAGGTTCCTTCCGTGTGAACAGCTCCAAGGCAAATGAGAGCTGGCTCTCTCTGCTTTAAGTCATGGGCTCCCAGACAGGTTTTGGAGGGGAGGTCTTTGTGTGCCACCAGCTTCCACTCTCAAGAGCCTCTCAGGTACTGTCCTTGCCTTCATTTTATAGCAGAGGACAATGAAGGACAGAAAAGGGGCCAGACAGGCTAAGGTAGAGGCTTAGATCCAATTCCAGGCACCCTTTGCCTAGCATCCATGTTCTGAGATACCATACTGTATGTCCGAGACGTATGAAGAGCTGGCCTGGGGCTAGCTCAGTGGGTAAAGGTGCTCGTCACCAAGCCTGATGACCCAAGATCAATCTCTGTGGGATGAGCATGGTGGAAGGAGAGGCCCAACACCCAGTTGTTCCGATCTTCACATGCGTGCATTTGTATGTATAGGCACGCATGGATGTGAAATGAATAAATGAATGGACAAATAAAAGTTTTTAAAGAGAAAGAACTCCTGGCCCAGAGTCATGTGCAACAGCTGGCAGAGCCAAGGTGGTATTCGGGGTCACGCTAATAGGCCAGAGCTGGAGGAACCCCAGGTCTTTGGGCTCCTTCAGCCTGATGGGGGAACTGGAAATGCCAGCCTAGCTGCAGCTGGAGCCCCCAGGGTAGCCAAGGCCACCTCCCTACACTGTTGCAAGCACAGCTGAGATGTGTCCCAGTCAGAGGAACTCATGGCAGAGCTGTCTCAGGCATCCAGATTAAAGAACGGCTGGTTTCCCCTCACAGCCTCCGAGGCCCCTCTGTTCTGTCTGCTGAGAGTCTAGGCCCTGTGTCCCTTGGAGGCTGCCCTGGCCAGCTGGCCTCCCAGAGAAGTTCTTCAGCGTTTGAAAACTCTCCCAGGCTTCGCAAGGCCCCGAGGGTGGGTTAGACCCTGCCAACCATATCCCCAGAGCAACCCCGCTCACTCTGCTGGGACCGGGCACAAATGCACGTGTGTAAGTGCCCAGGGCTCCCCCAGATCCTGGGGTTAGAAAGAGCACAAGCAAATCGACTGTGGCTTGGTCGGCACCCACCCACCCCTTCACAGCAAGTCTCTGTTGTGAGCCAAAAAAGAAAAAGTTAAATTCTTTAATATTCAACAACGCGCCTCCAGACATTAAAAATAAGCCCGTTAAGGGCTGGAGACATAGCTTAGTGGTAGAGCGGGTTCTGAGCACGTGCAGGGCCCTGGGTTCCCACCCATCACCAAGTAAGTGAGTAACGTCACTTGACTGAAGACTGGAGACGGGTTCTACATCTGAGAGGCCATGGAGACGGCTAACGGGCGCTGTCTTTTGGGGCTGGGAGAACTATCTAATGCCGCTTGTAGTCAAGTCCCTGGGTGCCTCAGGCTGATGAATGAGAACGGGGCCTAAGCTGTACCGCACACCAGCCGTACTGAGAAGAAGAAACAGGGCGGGGAGACGACTCCGTCTAGACATGCTCACCATGAAAGCATTAGGAAGGCCTGAGTTCAGTTCCTAAAGCACATGGAAACAGCTAGCCATGGCGTGGCGGCACACGCGCCTAATCCCGGTGCTGGGGCAGCACACACTCCTAATCCCGGTGCTGGGGCGGCACACGCGCCTAATCCCGGTGCTGGGGCAGCAGACACGGAGGGCTCCTGGGCTCACTGACAGTTTAGCCAAACTGGTGAGTCTCAGGTCCCAGAGAGCAAGGTGGGAAGGACTCAAGAAATCACACCTGAAGTTTTCCTCGGGCCTCCACATCCATGTGCATACACACACACACACACACACATCCATGTGCATACACACACACACACCCACACACACACCCCACCATACACACACCCCCACCCACACACACACACCACCACACACACACACACACACACACACACACACACACACACACACACACACGGAAAACTGCAGCTACATCTTCTCAGGAGAGAAACCCCGACAGCAACGGTTTTAATGGGAAGCTTGGAAAGTGAACCCCGCCTAGACAACGCAGCGCAATCCCCAGGTCCCGGAGGCAGGAGGGTTAAACTAAGGAGTTCCATCCATCCATCCATTCACAGCCAACTAGACCCGGAAACTGGAGCTTAACTGTAGCCTTGGCCAGGGTCAGGCAGCTGCATGGCAGAGCGGGACCTCTGTGTTCCCTCCTCTCGGCTGGGGAAGGCCATCATTTGGCATCACCAGGGCAAAGGGCCTGGGCTACCTAGAATAGTCTCTGGGATGATGTGGTTCAACCCCACCTGGGAGGTAGAGGGGCTCCCCCACGGGCTGGGGGCTGTTGAGGAAGCACGGGGGGGGGGGGGGGCTGGATGGGGGCCAGAAACAAAACAAACACGGTATTCCAGTGAACTGCTTGGCATTGCGATTTCAGGCCACCTTACAGATACCCTGTGAAGAAAGTTCCCAAACAAAGGGACTAGGGCTGAACAAGCCCCTGCCCCAGCCCCGGTGTTTCAGGACTGACACTGCAGCTGCCTCCGCTGCCCCCACAGCAGGTGGAGTGTTGCTATGGACCTGGGAGGAGCCCCTGGGTTAAGGAATCTGAAGGGATGTCCTAGCCATCTCACTCACCCATGCGGAGGGCAGGCACACACTGGGTGGGGGTGGGGAGTTTCTGTGATATGGTCACAGGCTGTGGGGCCTTCCGGGATCAGCTACAAGAGTGGCCGCTAATGGCTGTGGTGATGGGTTAAGAGCTGAAAATATAATCAGAGTGAACCAGGTACTCTGTGAATGAGAACAAACAGGTCCCATTTCCCCACCCTTGTAGGAGAAGAAACAATACACAGAGCTGCGCTCTGCCTGCTTCCCAAAGCCTGGGCTGAGGTAAGAACGCATGGATCATGCAAACAGACACTGCACCAATTTCAGGTGGTCACTACCAGGACCCAAGGAAGTCTCATCCACTTCAGTACTTTTGGCCAAGAGCTACAGGCTTGCTCCCTGCTCCATCCACAGCCCAAGTGTCCACTGCTGTTCCACTGAGCTGGTGGGTACACGTCCTGCTGACCACTTATGCTCATCACAGGAGGCCGAGGTGGCCACTGATATCAACTGTTTATATGAATGATAGAGAGGGTGGGACCGAATAAGCAGCAAAGACACCAGGAAGTAAAACAGACTCTATTTCCAGGGGCAGAAGGCTGAGGACCTGGAAGGCCCCACATGCCCATATCTGTATTTCTAAGAGGAACAGCTTCCTGGTGGCCTGGTCAGAACTGCACAGTCCCAGAGCCCCCAACCTGAGACTCTTGTGGTATTCTGAAAAAAAAAACCAAAAAACAAAAACAAAAAAAAAACCTGACCCAAATGAGGCTTCAGAAGCCCAAGGCTAGCTGGAGGGATGGCTTAAGCAGTCAAACCAGTTGCTGAGGAAATGTGAGGAACAGAGTTTGGAGCCCCAGGACCCGGTAAATGCCAAGCGGACATGGCAATCTGCCTGTAATTCTAGCCTTGGAAGATAGAGACGGGTTCCCCAGGCAAGCTGGCTAGTGAGACTAGCCACATCAGTGAGCTCTGAGTTTGACTGAGAAACCTGCCTCAGTAAGGGGGAAGCATTACTGAGGGTGTTCCCTGACATCAACCTTGAACTTCCTCAGGCACACGCACCCCAAGGAAGCCCTGGCAGGGGCAGGGTAACGAACGAGTCTCCCCAGAGCACTGCTTGGGTGCGGGAGCAATGAGAAGCCATCATTGTGGCAGGGCAGCCAGAGCGTCTGAAGCGAGGAGAGGGCAGACACTCACAGTAAGAACTGGCCAGAAGCAGAGAGAGGCACAGAGGGACTGACAGCTACAAACCGAGCAACAGCAGCCAGGCCCACTGGCTGCAGGGAACTGACCCGCACCCCAGAGCCTCTGAGAGGCCAGACCCTGCTGATAGCTCCATCGCAGACATCTGGCCTCCTCAACTGTGACAGAGTATATATCTCTGCTGTTTTAAATGTCTGGTTCAGGGTAATTTGTTAGCAGCCCCAGGAAATGAACACAGCATCCTTCTTCCTCCATTGGGCACCAGACCTGAACCCTGCTCTACCCACAACGACTCCTGGCGAGGTCCCTGATAAGCTTGTTGCCAAGGCAGCTGTCAATGCTCTTGACCTGTCATTACTTTGTCTTTCTTGAAACTCTCTCCTCCCTTGGCACACAGTAATACCATCTCTTGGGATTCTCTGGACCATGGCCTGCTTCTCCTGGACCTCCTCCGCCCCCAACGAGTCCAGTGTCAGCTCTCAAGCTGGGCTCTCCCCATCCCTCTGGCTGTTCTCATTCAGGGTCACGGTGTATTTGTTCTTATGATTTTAGGTGTGCTGGGGATGGAACTTGTGCATGTTAGGCAAGCTTGCTACCCTTAAGTGACACCCCCCAGCCCAAGAACCACTGCTTTCAATACGTCTATACATGGACAAGCTCCCCTGCTCGTCCCTGTGTCTCAAGCTCCAGGCTTTAGGCCCACCTAGGTTAGCTTCCATCTCCAGCTTTCCCGTCTTCCTGATTGCAGCCATCTCCTTCAACCTGCTGAAGCCAAACTCCTGAAGTCATCTCCCTGACATACTTTCTCCTTTCCTACACACAGTCCACTGAGGGGTGTATTCTAGAAAATGGCTGCCTCCACCACCTCTATAACTCTTGCCTTGCCTCAGGTCCAGTCATCTCTAACCCAGACAACTGTCATGGCAGCGACTCTTGTTGCCCATCAGCCAAGTGATTCTTGTAAGGTGTGAGTTGCCCCTCAGCAATGCTCCGAGGTGTCGTGTAAGCAGGTGATGGCTCTAACACATGCCATCTCTCCCTGCTCTCCCCCAGCAGCAGGGATAATGATAACATGCCATCCTCAGGTGTCCAACTCAGCATCCCAGGAAACGGCCACATCTATGTTCCTACCTGCACCTTCCAAAGTCAACCAGCTACAACCAGGACAATGGAAAATGAGAAGCCAAGGGTTTTGGCATTGCCTGGCACTCAGATGAGCTGGAGGGAGCCAGGAGTGTATACTACTGACCAGGAAGTAACTTGAATGAGTGAGCTGGAGGGAGCCAGGAGTGTATACTACTGACCAGGAAGTAACTTGAGGTAACATTTGAGGTCCATCTGGATCTTCGCTGCCATGACAGATGCCCGGTGAGGTCAGTTCCCAACAACTTGCTCCCATTCTCACACTCCCACCCAACCTCTTTAGCATTTTCCAGTAGGGCTGGAGTTCTGGATTGAAGAAAAAAGAAAAAGTGAGCATTCATCTTTCTCTGCTTCCTGACCATGGATGTCATCTCACTAGCTGCCGCATCCCTTCCCCACATGAGGGACTGTATCCCTCAAACTGCAAGCCAAAGCAAACCCTTCCTTCAATTTCATTAGTCAGGTATTTTGTCCCAGCAGGAAAAGCAGTCAGCCTGGCGGGCAGCCCACCTCCTGATGCAGAGCTGTGTAGGGCACCATGTGTTCACTGGACATGTGTGTAGGCCTCGGATGCCGCTGATGAAAATGCCACATGAGTTATACATGGCTTGCCAAGGGCAAACACACCCCAGGCGCCTCTTGACTGCTATGAATCTGTATGCAGCTGGGACACATGGAAACCATGCAGATTCTCAGGCTCATGAAAATATTGGCAGGCCCGTTTCCAGATGACACAGTTGGGTAATTCTCGTGGAGCCCAGATCTGGTGGCTGGGAGACAATAGTAGCCCTGGCAAATCCTATCATCTGTCAATCTTCAACGAAGGAGCAAAAACCTCCCTGGGGCACTAATGATCACTCCCTTCCAGGGAAGAGACAAGGGAGGCAGGCCCAGAGCCAGTTCCCTGAGAACCTAAACCCAGACACCTGCACCCAGGGGTCCCAGTCGCCACCCATCCCTGCAAATTTGGTCATGGACTTAGGCCACTTATTTCTGTAATTGAGGGAGACAGACTATTAGAACTTGCTCTGCTAGGTCCCTGATCCAGGCCTGAGGTGACTTCCTCAGGGAGGCTTCCTTCTAGGTGCACACTTGGCCACTCAGCCAGAAATGCCATGCCCTTTGTGTTGGGCCACACAGGGACAGATGGAGCAGGCAGGGACTCTGCATTACAGATATCTTCACCCAACGATGACTGCCATCGTCCAGGCAAAGCTGGGGTGGACCACAGAAAGGAAAAGGAAGAGGTTTCTGAGAAGTAAGCTCATGGGTCTGGCTACTCTCAGCATTCCAATATCTTCTGAAGACTGATCTGAGAGAGGGGTGAAGCAGACTTGGGGATCCCACAGGGTTAGAAATGGTAAGATAGTCGAAGTCTGTCTCCTGATATCAGTGACAGCCACACCTATCACTAACCACAGGTTGGGCTAGGATTTGGAGTGCCAGGTCAAACCTGCCCTTAAAAACAGCCAAGGGTAGTTGGCGCTTCCTGGCTCACCCCCTTTTGGGGATGGAATGTGCAGACCACAGGAGACAACCCTATAGGAAATGAGCTCCCAGAGAGGGGGCCTGGCATGGGGTGCCTGGTTCCAGAGCCCTAGGACTCCAGTTAACAGCTCCCATTCCCACCATGCTGGGCAGTCCTGGACCTGCACCTGCACCAGCAGTGTGGCTGCTGCATGCAACCATTTCAGCACAGAGAAAGGCCCCGCCCCCTTCCAAAAGGACAGGCAGAAGTCACTGCTGACTCAGCACAGAGTCCAAGACTAAGCAAGTCTTTCTCAAGACTAGGGTGCAAAGGAGTGTCGAGCTCTGGGAGAGACAGACACAGAATCTGGATCATGATTGAAAAAGGTCCCTGGCTTTCACTTACCTAAGAAGCCAGAGCATCCCCAAGGCTACAAAGCTCAACTTTGGTGACACTGGCTACTGTACTAGAATATGGTCAACTACAGTTCAAGGCTGGAAGCATTTTAGTCAGAGAATAATAAAACCATTCATTCATTCATTCATTTGCTCATTACTCCATCACCTATTCATTCATTCATTCATTCATTCATTCATCTGACCTCCCCATCCATCCATCATCCATCCATCATCCATCTATCCATCCATCCATCCATCCATCCATCCTTTCTCTATTTATTCATGAAGCTCTGGACAGAACTTCTCATTTAGCCAGGCATAGGTCAAAAATGGGTAGCAGTTTGAGTGTAATTGGCCTCCATAATCTTCTAGGAAGTGGCACTATTAGGAGTGTGGCCTTGCTGGAATGATGTGCCTTGTTGTGGGATGGGCTTTGAGGTTTCCTAGGCTCAGGGTGCCACCCAGTATCTCAGTCGACTTCTGTTGCCTGCAAAATGTAGGACTACCCACTCCAACACCACATCTACCTCATGCCACCATGCTTCCTGCCATGATAATGGACTGACCTCTGAAAATGTAAGAGAGCCACCCCAATTGCACTTTTCCCTTTACAAGAGTTACTGTGGTCACGGTGTCTTCCCAGCAGTAGAAATCCTAACTAAGACACATGACCTGTGCAGACCTACAAGCACTGGGCTGTCTACTTAAAGACATTTTAAGTCCAATAACTCCACAAACCAGCCAGGACCACAGGGATGTGGAGGGTGACGTTGCTTCAGACAAAGCGGGGACACTTACGGTCAAGCCCATTCAAGTAGCGCATACGGATCTCACAGTGGCCCCAGACAGCGCTCACGACAGGATACAGTTTTTTACCCTTGAGTCCCCGAAAAGCCACGCCCATGTATTGTCCATCCACAATGAAACTCAGGGTCCCATCGTCCATGTCCAGGGCCACAAGGAAGGAGTCAGGGACGATGAACGTCTCGTCTGGTTCCAGAAAGGCTGGGTATGTTTTACTTGGCTGGTTCTTGCCATCGTGGTAAAGACGGTTACGTCCCAAGTCCCAGCCCCAGGACTCATGGTTATTTCCTACAAGGGTCGTGTAGCCGACAGAGTGCAGGGGGGCATCCGCCGTGGCCACCCCCACTACAGCATGCGTGCCTCGCTGCCTCATGGCCCATGTGATCTGCCACACATGCAGTCCCCGTGTGTACCCGATTTTGCCCCTGATAGCGTCTGTGCTCTGGGCCACCGGATGCCGGTGAAAGATCAACTTGTCATCTTCCTTCACGAAGACATTGAGTGAGCGGTCATTATTGTTCCAGGAGTGGAGCAGCTGGACGTCATAGGACACGGGGGGCATGTCGAGCAGCAGGTCCAGCCGGGTGGGCTTGCAGTAATCCAGACCCTGGAGCTCCTGCTTCAGAGGTCGGTATGTGGGGTCCCGCATGTCCACAGTCTTGATCCCTCCCGTGACCTTCTGACCCATGATGACCTCTGGTTTCACCTTTTCTCTGACTCCCAAGGCAAACTCATCAATCTTTGGGGCTTTCCCTCCGATTTGTAATCAGGACCAGATAGAATTCCTAAGGAAGGTTGCTAGGCGATCTCCGGAGGTTGTGAAGCATTCAGTATTCCTAATGGATGGAAAGAAACAGGAGAGTGGATGAGCGGAGTGCAGTAGCAGGGGAAAGATTAAGGAGGAACACAGAGCTACATGCACCAGTATGTCTCAGCAGCTTGGAGAATGAAATGCCCCCGTCCCTGTGGCTATGTTGTCAGAAAGGAAAAGGGGCCATCCGTCCCATGGTCTGTGTGGAGAGGCAGAGGTGAGTTGGAGACTGAGAATTGCACTCAATGGGCTGGGACACAGGAGATGCCATTTGGGCTTCTAGGTGGTGTTTTGCAGTCAGAAGGCCAAGGTGGCAGCACAGACCATGCAAGCCTCAACTCCGTGACACCTCAGCCAGAATGAAGAGACACACACTCCTTTGCTTCCAAAGCATGGGCAGACGAAGACACAGATCCCAGCCCTGCCTTTTCTTCTCCAGCACAATCACTTCTGATAGTCGTGACACCAAGTGACCGGAGGGAGGAAACCCCGAGGTAGACAGCAGTTCAACTACCACACTGCACGCACACTCTAAGGCCTAGGGCTTTGCACCCTGCCAGGACTGGAACCATCAACAAGGCTTTCCTCCAGGTCCCTGGCTGGGCCGATGGACAAGGAAGGGGCAAGGCTCATCCACTAACCCACACGTGGTTCTGGGCTAACTTGCAGATGGTCAGATGCTCTGTTAGAAGATTCCCTTCAACTAGAAGACAATCTTTCACCTTGAGTCTCCCTGCTACAGCATGATAATAGGAAGACCTAACTCCATACTGTGTCTTTCCTCTCTGGCTTCACCGTCTCCAGAATCCATTAAGAAACCAGGAGGGAGACTTCACTGCATCTGTCTACTTACTCTCCAGTGGTGACTGGGGGGAGGAGGGAGAGGAGGAGGGGGAGGGGGAGGGGGAGGAGGCTAAGAATAGGGCTGACAACACACACCCCCACTTGTCGATGCCCAGCCTTAGATCAGGGAAAACAGCAAAGTATTTGCACTCCTGGGTGTCATTCACGAGCAGATGCTCTCTGCCACCCAAACCTGGAGGGCTGGAAAGATGGATCAGCAGGTAAAGTGCCTGCCTCACAAGGATGAGGACCAGAGTTAAGAGCCTCAGAACCTACATAAAAGCTGGGTAGGTGTGGCTGCCCACCTGTGAGCCGGGTGCATCTAGAGGTAGAGACAGGCTCTCTCCAGTGCAAGCTGGCTATACAAGCTAGCTAAAGTAGTGAATTCAGTGAAACACCCTTCCTCAACATATAAGGTGGAGAGGTAAAGTAGACACCCAGTGCCATCCTCCAACCTCCACGCACATGCATGTGAGCACAGGTGTACGCGCGCACACACACGCACACGCACACGCACACGCACACGAGCTCAACACGAACATTTAAAAACCCACAAAGCCCTCCCTGGACTCCAAAAGCTTTCGGCTCCCCAGTTTGGAGTCAGGCTCTTATGATCAACAGGGTAATGAGGAAAGTAGCCTCCTGGATACATAACCAAACAGAATGAGCATTGGCTTGGATGGGCAGAGGCCACTGAGCCTCAGTTGCTGGGAAAAGAGTCATGCCCGGTCACTTGTCCCAAGGAACTCTGGGATACCTTAGCAAAGCAGATGAAGAGAACTGTGAAGGGATCTAGTGTGAGAAGCCTGCAGGTGCCAGGCTCAGGGACATCTGGGGACTAGAGAGCACTGGTGTCCCCTCCAGTGAGCACAGGTCCAGGGGTGGGGCAGATATGCAATGGGACCAATATGAGCTACTGTCCTCTTGTCTGGGAAAGGACCACCGTGAGAATGACCATTGGCCAAACAGTTTATGGTTAATGTAAGCCTCTGTGTGTTTATTTGGGACTGGGTGGGACAGAAACTCCATCAACAGTTACCAATGGCCTGTATACAGTCCAGCTGTGCTGAGCTGTAGGAAGGTGAGAGCCCCAGGCATGGAGCCGCAGTGAATGGCGGGAGTCCACTGGAGGGAAGGCATGGGAAAGAGGAGCTGGAGAGAGGGCTAGCACAGGCTCCAGAGTCCACAGCATTGCGGAATGATTCTATCACAGGGCAGGCTCAAGGACACGGTCCAAGCCCTCTGTTGTTATGTGTGCCCCCATCACATCCTCTGAGTCACCCTCTGAGTGGCCAGTTGCCATGGCAATCCTAAAGTCACTCTTGACTCATCTTTCCTGTGTGTCCAGGTTGCTGGCTGAAGAGGACACTGTCCTATTGTCCATCGCTGGCCACTCCTAGCTTACATAAGGATGCCAAAGCCACCCGGCTTCCCTCCTTTCACGCACTTTAAAGCTGCCCCTGCAGGGAGCTAGAAAGATGGCTCAAAGTACACACTGCTCTTGCAGAGGACCCAAGTGCCATTCCCAGCACCCATGCCAGGTGGTTCACAACCGACTGTAGCACCAGCTCCAGGAAACTTGGCGCCTCTGGCCTCGGCGGGGACCTGCATTTCTGTGCACATGCCCCAGCCTGCACACATACACATAATTTAAAAACGACATCATTTCAAAAGACACTCCCATGCAGATGCAACTCCTCCACTCTTACCTTTTCCTGGGCCGTGGCCTGAAGGGCGCGTCCCCAGGCCTGTCTCCAAGGCTCCCAAACTCACTTAGGATGAACGTGCCTGGTATATACCAACTGAGAGTCACCCTTGGTTCTTCCACGTTCCCGTTTGTTCCTCTATAACACGAGTGTCACCTGTGTGTCACATGCTTTTCTGAAACTCAATGGAGACAATGTCCTAGGGAGGGCCTGGCACAACTGGCATATCCCTTTGATGTTCTAGAATGTGCTCATTCACTGAACAAAGATCACTGTGAGTCGCTCTTCCTGGTTACCACACCTGGCCCAACAGGTGAACACTGTCCCTGGGCATGACCCAAGCATTGGAATGCCATCCTACAGAAGATCGACATGAAGGACTCTACTAAGCCACAGGTCAGTGAACTTGTTTTTCGAATGGCCAGGTAGTAAACATTTTAGGCTTTTCAGACAGTGTGTAAATAAACGGACACGTCTATGTCCCAATAAAACTAAGAAAACAGATAGCTGGGTTTAGCCCATGGCCACAGTCTGCCGACTGATCCCTCTTACAAGGCTGTGGCAACCTACTGACCTGCTCCCCAAAATACCTGCTTAGGATGGGGTGTGTGTGTGCCATCCATGGGTGCTGAGGGACAGGAACGTGGGTGGGTCTGCAGGGCTGTGGTTAACAGTGGACAAGACAGGCCTCACTGAGCCAGGAGGGGTCCAGCAGTGGGAACTATTGGTAGGAAGTAGGGAACCAATATAGGGGCTGGCTCTACGTAACCCCATTTCCTGCTGTTCTAGAAACAAAGTAGAGGCTCAGGCTTTATAGGGTCCAAATGTGCCACATGAATGCCAGGGCCTGAGGTTACCAAGGGCGCAGACAGCAAACCTCTAAGAGTGGGAGGCCTCAGCCCTCAACCCCACCCAGGAGATGCCAGACCTTGAAGGGTGGGAAGGGAGTGGGTTTGTGTTTCCTTGTAGGCTGAAACTAGATGTCAGAGAGTGACAGGGCTGGCCTGCCATTGCCATGTTCTACCAGTCTTGGCACACACGGCTGCCTACAGAGAAAGGCATACACAAGCCCCCACTAAATGTAGTGGCGTCAGTGGTCAGTGAGGCTGGGGAGCAGGACAGAAGCCTGGAAGTTGGTGGCTCAGAAAGTAAATTCTGACATTCCAGAACCAACACGTCCCTCCATACAGTACCTGTGGCCATCCTCATGGCTAGCCAACTCCCAAAGTCCTAGTTGGTACCCTTCTTACCAAACCAAACTCTGGCCACCCCAAATAATGAACACATTCCACTGTGCTCAGTCCCCAGGCGTGTAACTGCCAGCTGTCATACGATTATAGCGTTGGTGACTCCCAAGGACCAGGGACACTCCTCAGAGAGAGCTGAGGAAACATACAATGCCGTTACCTGCATCACAGCTCTCATGACGCAGGGCAACTATTCCAGCCAAGAGACAGGTGTATACATTCGCACGTGTGTGTGTGTGTGTGTGTGTGTGTGTGTGTGTGTGTGTGTAGGAGCTTTAACTACAGGTCTGTTTCTCTTATTGAGCAACAGGGACCATGTCCAGTCATTCTCCCAGCCATGTTTTTCTCCAGGTAAAATCAGATTAAAGATCAACCAGGGACAGCAGAGAAAACCGTCATCAAAGGGTGAGCAGGCTGCTTATGAGAGAAAGGATTTTCTTTGCAAACAGACTGAGAGCTCCATGAGTCACAATGGAGAACTTGCTTTCCTCTGGTGTCTTGTTCCAGAGTCAAGACCAGTGACAGGGACTGTAACACAAAAGCTAGCTGGGTAATTACTCAGGAAATAGCATGTGAGCAGCTTCATGGGTCATAGCAGGCAAGTCATCGCTCTATCATTGCCAACGTACACCTTGCTCTCTCGCTGGGGATGTGTGGCTGAACTTAAGCACACTGAAAAGGGGCTATGGGCTTGGGTAGACACCAAGGCCATGGGTGGGATGTCCTAGGGAGACCTCGGTCTTCTCACAGTTCTGATCTTTCTGTGCCTTGTATCCCAGCTCAACCCAAGCTCCAGTTGGCACAGTACTGGTCACAGTCTGGGAATGAAGGAGAACTATGCCCAATATCAAAACCAAGCATACGCTGGGGTTTTCCTCTCTGGCTGGAGGGTAGGGTGGGTGAGAGAAACACAGAAGGGAACTAACACAAGAAACAAGAGTCAGGACCATGGCAAGCAAGAACAAAGACATTTTCACTCTAGATACCAGCCCTATGAGCTGATATTTGACTCTGACAGGTCACCACACACACACACACACACACACACACACACACACACACACACACACACCACCCAACTGATTCTACACTTCTTTACATTAGCATGAACCAAATCAGAAGCATAGGAGCTAAGGAAGGGGAGGTGTGTCCACTAGACCACACTAAACCCTGTGGTTTTAATTTCTTCCGCCTTCCTCTAAGGAAGAACTCCCACTCCTCCCCCTACT